CATGCCACCAGAGGTCAGTCACAAACAAAATGACAAAAAACAAAAATGCATGTGAAGGTTTGGGAAACCTATTCTTAATTTTATCTTCTTGCTTTGTGTTCCCAACGTGGGTTAAACAGTATGATGATTGTATTATTCCATTATTTACCAGCATTCATATTCTGGAATATCACTTTTATGTGGATTTTTATAATATTTGGGCCTACAAGAGTAGAGTTTGTCACCATAATTAATCTGAAAGCATTAATTTGAAATACACTAATGAAATAAATTAATTTTATTTTGCTTGCTGCATTTAATCCACTATTGGACGCAAATAGCTTGTTGAATGATTTCAGGAGAAGTGAACAAACCTATCTTCCACCTGAACAAAATGTCAGATTTACTTCCACATTTTGATATCTTGTGCCTTCCTTTTCAGTCCATAGTGGTGGGACTCATCTCTGGGTGGGGGGAGATGAGTCTGCCTATCGAGATGAGGTGGACCGGTTGCTTTCGTGGTGTGGAGACAATAACTTTGTCCTTAACACCAATAAGACCAAGGAGCTTATAGTGGACTATAGAAGGAATAGATCAAGCATCCAGCCCTTGCTTATCAATGGAGACCAAGTGGATAAGTAGCCAGTTTTCTGGGTGTTATCATAAAAGAGGACATGACCTGGGACACTCACATTGCAGCACTGGTTAAAAGAGCCCAGCAGAGATTATACTACCTGAGACTTCTCAGGAAACAACAACTGAATAAAAAACTGCTGGTGACTTTCTACCTCTGCACCATAGAGAGTATTTTAATTTACTGCGCCTGTGTATCAGTGGTGGGTTGCAGGTGGTATGCTCCGGTACAGGCGTACCGGAGCCTGCCTGGAGCACTGGGTGCGTTGCTCCGGAGGGCCCACCCAAGCTCCTTACCTGTCCTTTAAGCCTTTGGTGGTTCCACGCACGCACATGGCGCATATGGCACCTGCACGACGCTCCGCCGAGCAGCTGCAGCGTCACGGAGGCTTGCGGAAGCGTTGCACGCAAGTATGACTCATTGTGGGTGACGCTGGGGCCATTCCAACCTTACCAGTTGGAATGGAATCGGGAACCCACCACTACTGTGTATGGTTTGCCAATTGCACAGTGGCAGATAAGACAGTGCTCCAGAGGGTTAACGTCATTCTTAAAGATCCATATCATCCTGGACGCCCTTTTTTTGAACTATTACCATCTGGCAGATGGTACAGGATAATAGAAACAAGGAAAAATAGGCTGAAAAACAGCTTCTATCCCATTGCAGTAACTATATTGAATTCTACCGTATAGTGCAATATTAATGCAATATCAGGTTTTCAATTTCAATTATATAGCATGCAAAGGATGGGTGTTTGTGTTTTTATTTTTATAGTTATAATGTACACTAAAGATGGCATTTGATTTCATTGTACAACGTGCAATGACAATAAAGTAAAGTAAGTAAGTAAGTAGGTAGATAAGTATATTCATAAGGGCCACATTTTTATTTGGCTAAGGTTTTTAATGGGATGGGATGACTTCATCCTCATGATGAGCCAATTAAAGAGTTTTCGCCTAAGGGTTGATCCACAGAAACATCCTTCTCGCTACAGGTAATTTTCACCTTACAAGAGTTCATTTAGTGACAGTTCAAAGTTACAACGGCACTGAAAATAGTGAGCTGTGACTGCATTTTTGATCATTGTAGCATCTCCATGATCACATGATCAAAATTCAGTTACTTGGCAACTGACTCATGTTTACGACGGTTGCAGCAATCCCCTTTTGTGACCTTCTGAAAAGGAAAGTCAATGGGAAAAGCAAATTAACTTAACAACTGTGTTACTAACTTGACCACTGCAGTGATTCGCTTAACAACCTTGACAAGAAAGGTTGTCAAACTCAGAAATACTCATTTAACAATTGTCTCACTTAGCAACAGAAATTCGGGTTGAGTTGTGATTGTAAGTTGAGGATTACCCATAAAGTGCCTTAACACACATTACAAGGTCAATATCGTCCCTAAGACTACTGCTGATCCTCAGCTAATGTTATATATCTCCTAGTTTCAAAATCCTTCCCAAAAGTCCACGCCAGATTTTCATTATCTGAGTTTTTTCTGCACCTGTTGCCTGGGACAAGTAAAAAAGCACCAAGGAAAGGACACTCAAATCTTTTTGGATTTGAGACTCACTGTTTGATTCAGAAGATATTTCCATGAAGCAATGCAGCCCTTGACTGGACAAAAATGCTCAACTTTGATCTACATACTTCATTTCTTTTCCTCCAAGATTGTATCTATACTGAAACCACAGAGTTATTCTCCCCTTAATACTGACCATTCCATTCTTGACTGTGGAAGTTTCATTTCAAAAATAAACTAGGTATTGCCTTTTATCTATATATCTGTGTGTATCTCTCTGAGTTTCTGCATGAAATACCATCAGGCCAGCCCTAATTTGAGTGCAAGTGGACAAATGCTCAAGTGCACCAGTAATGGCCTTGAACTTCTCTTCATGAATTTTCCAACTATTCCCTACTCATGCAGGACACAGTGATGAATGTGAGATAACCTATCCCTTAACTATCCTGCTACCCTAAGTATAATAGGGAACATCAGAGTTTGAAGTGACAGGACAAGCAATTCAGTCAGTGTTTCTGTCAGACGTGGTATTCAACAGGTTCTGACCAGTTCTGGAGAACCGGTAGCGGAAATTTTGAGTAGTTCAGAAAATCAGTAAATACCACCTCTGACTGGCCCCGCCCCATCTATTCTCTGCCTCCTGAGTCCCAGCTGATTGGGAGGAAATGGGGATTTTGCAGTAACCTTCCCTTGGAGTGGAGAGGGAATGGAAATTTTACAGTATCCTTCCCCTCCCATGCCCACCAAGCCATGTCATGACTACTAAGCCATGCCCACAGAACCGATAGTAAAAAAAAATTGAATCCCACCACTGGTTTCTGTGTGGACTTAGGAAAACTGTGTGGACTTATGGCAGCAAAATTCAAGGTGATCTAAATTCAAAGGGGTATCTCCTGAGTGAGAGGTTATAAATTAAAATCCAGATTTCTCTAGTTTTTCCCATATCACAGTCTTTCCAACTTGGTACAATCCTGATGGATGGGGCTACAAGCTCGTATTGTCTGTACCAGTGGTGGGATTCAAATAATTTAACAACTGATTCTCTGTCCTAATGACCAGTTGGGTAGGCATGGCTTGGTGGTCATGTGACTGGGTGGGTGTGGCCAACTCAACGTCACTCAGGTCGATGGGCGCTTTGCATTAGCTGTTACAATGTAGCAAGGGTGAACCAGAGAGGCAGTTTCTGTAAGCAGGGCAATAAAGATGAGGCTAGAAAGAACACCAGAATGTTTCCTTCCTGCCTTCCTTACACGATTAGCTCTGTAAAGTGGGGAAAAAACGAAAGATTTCTTCCAACAACCAGTTCTCCCAACTGCTTAGAAAGTTAACAACCAGTTCTCTCGAATAGGTGTGAAGCGGCTGAATCCCACCACTGGTCTGTACTGTACTGTATTATCTGTAACCAGCATTCAGTAGTCAGAAGTCAGGTTGGCAGGAAGTGATAGCAGTTGCAGTCAACTTGTTGCTAGAGTACTGCTTCTACTGTATGCTGAACTAGGTG